TAACCTGATTTTGTTTTAGAGAGGAAGACTCCAGCTGTGGAGGAACTATCATCAGTCACAGCCGCATTCTCACAGCAGCCCACTGTGTCCATTTTACAGATGATACTAACAACAGAAAAGGCAAGACATGTAGGGGTTATACTTGGGCGCATTTTCAATTTTTTCACACATTTGACAGTTTCTTTATTGAACTTTTGTGCTTTCAAGTAAATCGGCGAAACCGACTGAGTTACATATGGATTTGTCCAGTAACAAGCATGGAATTTGTTTTTCTCGCCGTGTGCTGCGTACAAAACCTCTGGGCAAAACTTGGGCGCTGTAACAATAAACAGATTTACCCTTATAAAAACAAATCCTTGACATACTACCACAACTTCTGGTAAATTTGGAAGAAATTCTGCTATAAGTGGAACACGGACAATTTCTAGCTGGAAATAACTTTCAATTTCCAAGGACCAAAGTTTAGTGCGGAGGCGGAGCAATAAGCAGAATAGCCCAAGTGCAGAATGGGTCTGAGAGCAGAAAAACAGAAAAATATTAATTTATATTGGTTTATACGGGCTAATTGATAAAACAATTATTATAATTGTCAAAAAATACCAAGAAAACGAATAAATTATGCATGAGTTGACTAATTTCATTAAGTTTTTTGATTATTTTTTTGAAAAAAAATTCTTGATTAAATTACTCAAATTATGCATAAAATGTTCGTTGCTGTGGTATTATTGACATTTCTGCTAATTATTTACCGATTAGCTTATAAAGTTGTTCTTTTTCTGTTTTTCTGTTCTTGGACCCATTTTGCTCTTAGACCATTCTGCTTATTGACTGGCCACCGTTTAGTGCATAATCCCTATATTAGTAGAAGAAAACGCCATTTTTAGGATCATTTTAGAAAACTTTTAAACAAGAAGACAAAATTAGGAGCAAATTAGTTTCAGGGTTGTACTTTAAAATGTCTGTTATGATGGATGATTTTGGGCAAGATTACTTCCATGTAAATTACATTTTTACATATAACAAAAGCAAAAAATCAGACTTGCCTTCTCCGAATTTATCAAAATTTGTTTTTTTTTCTACTTTATGGATCTCAATTTTGAGGAAAAAAGAAATATTAAGAGTAGTTGAGTGTAGTTAATTGTAAAAGGTACGTTTTGCCAGTTTTTTTCAAAGGTAATGAGAGAATTGAGCACGCTTAGATAGGTCTTGTGATTTTTTGTTTTTTTTTTCAGAAAAAAGACTGAAAAGTTGTTCACGCTCAAATTTTGATTTTTCGTGGTTTGATTTTGATTTATTTTTAGGTTTAATTCTTTTTTTTGCAAAAGTGTAAACGTCACGAAAAAATCATGATAGGTTTCTAGTTTCGAAAGTGGAAAACAATTTTCAGATTTCCCAGTGGAATAAAAACTTTACTTTTTGATCCAATTTTCTCCAATAAGTGAATTTTGTCGAAAAAGTGTCAACCAAAAATCGTTTTTGAACAGATTTATGGTCACATTTTTTCAACTTTGAAGTTAGAACATGCAGGTTTTTTTGTGAAAAACAGTGTTTTTTTTCTGTTTTCTTGCGTTCTTTGAATTTTTCAATTTTCGTTTCGTTATATTTTACAAGTGACGCCTGTTCGTTCATCAACACGATTATTTAACTTGCCTCAAGTCAAAATGCACTGATGAACTGAGCGCGGTTTGATTCGAGCTCACATGCTCTTAGCTCAATTGCGCAGAATATATATAGCCTGGAAAACTTTTAGTGTAAAATAACTATGATTTAGTAAGTTACTTTACACTGTAATTATCAGAAGATTGATCAAAAATCATTACGAGGCCAAATTGTGCATTTTGTGCATTGTAAGCGGATTCCGCAACAAGGACGCTCCCTTTGTCTTCTTTTGTTTTTTCCTTCTCTTTGATCGTTCCGACAAAACTTTAACATGCTTAAAGAATTGTCTCTGGAATCCAGGAACATACAGACACAAAATTATGCTCCTAACCAGTGCACAGTTTGGCCTCGTAATGATTCCTTTTCAGATTCATTTTTAAAATATATTATATTATTTCGCCTTGATGATTAACTTCTGAAAAACTTCTGAATATTTTCCCTCCTTAATTGAGTTATTCATCGGTTATGCATCGGCTGCAATTGCATTGGTATGCAAGCTTCAACTATGATAATAAAAACTTGCAAAGGTATTTAAAAGTTTTTCAGTGGAAAATTCATGAATATATATTTTTGAAATTTGCTTCGAAAAAATTAACTCGATTTTCTTTATCATTAATTAGGCCTAAGTATAATTTTGACAGTAAAATTTTAGTTCTAGCTGGTTATTCTAAGTTTTTAAGTAAATGGAATGATCAAAAATATAATGAAAGAAGCCCGAAGTCCCTATTCAGAAAAAAAACATTTTGTGTTTCCCAAGTGGCAAGCATTTTCTTCGGGCAAGTTTCCATTTTTTTCGTGGATGTTTTATAGTATCTAAGAGATATTCATATTTAAAGCACAAAAATTAAATATATGTTCAACAGATACTAATAAAAAACTTGTGTTTTTTGCTATTTGCAGAATGTCTTTTGAAAGCTGTCCATCCTGTCGAAAAACAGATGGATAGCTTTCAAAAGACACTCTGCAAATAGCAAAAAACACAAGTTTTTTATTAGTATATGTTGAACATATTTTTAACTTTTGTTTTTTTGGCAAAATCCAGACTGAGTTGTTTTGTTATGTGAATCTCCTTTTTGCAACTCAAGGCCGTTTTTTAAATATAAAGTTTTTGCATGTTACCAATATTGCAGCCGAAGTTGGTTAGGCAGAGGAAGTCCTGAAGCTAGAGGTCCAATTAGATACAGCTCCTTCTCATACACCCTTATCGCCATGACAAAGGATCTGTTACACAATTTGACGACCTGCGACCATTCGTTCTCTAGTTTGGGAGGAATAAATTTGGGACTATTTGAAAATTTATTTCAATATGGGCCAAATAACGAGCAATATTTACCCGTACCGAGAAAATTCTTTATTTCTGACCTGAAATAATTTGTATCTAATCTAATTTCTGGTCAGAAATTCTTTTTTAAATGTTTAATAAAGCATGCATTTTCTTTAAATACTTTATTTCTTATCCTAATTCTGATCAGAAATTAGCTAAACCTAGGCTATTTCTAGCTAGAAAATAGTCTCCTGGTGAACTCATACCCGCGCCCTTCTGATTGCTATACACTTGCTCTATCCACTATGCTACAGCCCTTGATAGAGTTCACAAGTTTTAGGAGAATAACAATGTTATAACAATTGTAATTTTGCATTGTATTCGCTACTGCTATTGTGTATACTCGAAGCATGTTTATCTTGTTAAGGTTGAGCAGTTAACTGATTTCTGGTTATTTCTTTCTAGAAACTGTTTGTTTCTAAATTAGAAAAAAACTGATCACTTCTGCACGGAAAATACGAGAAAACTAGGCTAGATAATCTACATAGAATTTCTATCTAGAAAAACAGCTTCCGTTCGGTACGGGTACTCTATTGAAGCGTAAGCGGCAATTTAATCTGGCACCAAAATCATCCAAATTGATTTGAGTCAAGCTTTTGAAACCATTAATGCGTTGCTTGACGCTAATTTCTTCAATTGTTTTTTTTTTACGGGGGATGGTTTTTAGGGAAAAAATAGTCTGTTTCGTTTTCAATTTTTTCTAAAGAGTTTTAAAAGTTTTTTAAAGAGATGAATTGTTAATTGGATATTAACGGGACAGTCCGAATATTCAAGTTACAGCCCTGATACGTAAGCGTTGTTATTTCTGTGTTTTTCTTATTTTGATTTCAAACGGTGAATATTTGTAATTCTTTACAATTTAACTAAAATTAAATAATGTTTGTCTACTTTGTGGACGCACTCCGTAAAAATTCTGAAATTTATAATCAGCTACTTAGTATAATAGATCAATATGATTGACGCTTATATAAGTCTTGATGACTTTTTCGTTTGTTTAAATTTTAGGGAAAAACATTTAAGTAGTAGTTTTGCAACAGTTTTTTCAAGCAGAGGGCCGCAAGAGCGTGTGCGTACAAAACAGTTGCAAAAATGCATGAATCGAAAAAAAAAATTGCGTTCATTCTTGTTTTTCACTTGTTTTTCACATGCTAAAACCTTTCTTTCTTAAAAGCATGTGTTCAAACTACAAATTCAGCTCATTTGCGAGCGCGCATGTAAAGACTTTTTTCACGCCGACTAAACACATGCTGCAGATTAAGTAGTTTTATTCATAAAACAAATTTCACGTGCTGATCTTTTCATGAACTGCGTATGGGTAAATTTTTGGAACCAAATTTTGGTAATTTGGTAGAGGGCAGCTCTGATCATTTGACCTGGTCTATGTAAATTTTTTGCTTAAATTCTCAAAGAACGTTTTTCAAAATCGTGCTTGAATACTTGCATTTGTTTTTTCCACAAGTGTAATTGAAGGCAAACTTCAAAAGTAGAAAGATCAAAAAAGCCTAACTTCTAGTTTAAAAAATGGACTTTGACTCTGAAGTCTAAGCGGAGTAAAAAAAATGATTATTGATTCAATTTTCTCTAAATGACATAAGTTTACAAAAAAATTCTAATCATAAACAGTATTTGAAGTTCAAAGAGCTTCAAACCATACTAAACTTTTTTGAAACTCGATATTTGAAAAAATGCTCCCAAGTTTTCAATCAATTTTTTTTTTCAGTTTCCTTGTTTTACTCTTTTCCAACTCTCTGCTGCCTATGTTTTGCTTCAGAAGAGATTGCTTAGTTGGTCACAAAAGTATTCAATGTCCCAATTTGTGTTGCAATCAATTGACAACGCCAAACTTTGGTCTCGCTTCAGAAAAATTACGATTTGAAAAAAATTACGATTTCGATGGTGGAAAAACCATAAATCGTTCGTTAAAGTTTTTGAACAATAAAATAACATCTGTCTGAAGACAGGCTTTCCTGATTTGAGACTAAATGATCTGAGGCCATTTTTGTTTTAGTATGGAGGGAGCCTAGCACTCTGCAGATAATTTCAGGTGAATAATTTCAAATGAAAACGTTTGATTTGTATTGCAGAAAACCAGCGTTTTTGAAAACATGCAGATTAATTGAGCTTGAGTATGAAAAAGTTTCCGAAGCTTATTTATAATTACATGTAATTCAAATAACTTTAAAATTGCCTTATAAAATTTTTACCTGTAGTTGAAAAAAAATATTATGTTGTTCAATGAAAAAGCCTTTATGATAACCAATTTTCTGTTAAATTTTTTTCTTCAATTTTCGAGGAAGCCACACTTATGACATAAGCGACGAGCCAGAGCAAACTCAACGACATCAGGTCGACCACTATTATCATCTCACTGGTTATGACAACCCAGGCAATGGAAAAGACATGGTAATTCTCGTATTGAGCGAGAGAATGACATTTGACAAATACCGCCAAAGTCTGCGACCTTGTAGAGGTCAAACTGGTTTGAGGAATGTGGACAAATTAGAAGTGTGGGCTGTGGGCATGGGATTCACAAATTTTAGCCTGAAAAGTGTTCCTGATAAACTTATGGTTCACTTTCTTCAATTATTTTACTTTTTCAATCTTCTCCTCAACGTCCCCATGTTCAAGAGGAAAGAATATAGTGATTACTTTTATATAGGTCTTGCTGTTTTTTTTGTATCAGGCCGTCTATTTTTTCTTGGAAATTGCGAAATTGAAAATTTTTGAAGAAAAAGCAAGCATTTTTTTTTAGTTTCCTTGCGTTCATTACTCTTTTCCAACTGTCAGTTGACTATGTTTGATACTTTCTATCGGAAAAAAAATAAAACGTATTTAGGGCCTTTCCTTTTATTATACGACCTAAAATTGATATTTATAAATATTAAAAATCCATATTATAATGCTCGAACCAGATTAAGAAAATCAAGATTCTAATTAAAAACTGAAATTTGATTAAAAATGTAGCATTTTTTGGAGTATAATACAAAAAACTTGGTGTTTATATCAACCAACTATCTTCAAACAAATTTTGGATTACAAAAACATCCTCTCTTAATACTCGAACCCAATATTTGACGTATGGTGAAATAAAGAGCTGTATGTGTTGAATCTGATTGGTGGCTAACTCATAGAGTAATTACAGATTGAGTACACTGTCTGTTTGTCACGTTATGTAGTTTTTGTCAGATAGTTCCGTGCAACTTCTTAGACCAATACTGATCTTATACTTACTCATGTTTTCTAAGTCTCAAACGATCCTAACACGATTGGTCGTATATCAAGGCATAGCCCTGAATGTTCCGACTACACTTTAGGGCCTACTAAGTTTTTTCGGTCAAAAACTGACAAAAAGTGTGAAAAAAGATTGTTTTTCATCTTTTTCATTTTATCAACCTAGACGCTATGTAAAATCCAAAGGGCGGGTTTAGCGTCTCTTTTATTTCAAAAAGAATAAATTTCTAGCTTCAATTAAGTTTGAAACGTGATTGTTTGCTGCTTACGCGTGTTATAATAACGCAAAACTATCACGAGTTTGTTATCCCAATTTGGCCAATTAAGCAACTTTCAAACCCTCGTTACCTTACAAAAAAAGTAACCAAAGGTAGAAATAATATCTTGATATACTTGAGCTCACAACAAAATTTTCTAAATGGTAGACAAATATGAGTCAAAAACGCTTCGCTATCAAGTCGAAAATTGACTGAATAAAAAAACCACTCCAAACATTCAAAACAAGTCGGAGCAAAAAGAAAACAAAAAAAACCAAACTACTTGTTACGATTTGAAAACGCATCTTTTAAGGAAAAGGCGTTTTCAAAACTTTAGTTTAATTGAAACGCCTGAAAAACTCCAAAGTCTTTAAACATGTTAAAAAATTGTCGGAACGATCAAAGATAAGGAAAAACCAAAAGAAGACCAAAAGGAGGGTCCTTGCTGCGGAATCCGCTAACAATCCGCAAATTCACAGAATGGCCTCGTAATGAAATATTTTCACTGAATACCAAAGAAAGTTCAAAAACCTGTTCAAATATAACCATCACCATAGTCAGCAGAAAAAATGTTTTTTCCCAAAAACTTGCAAAACAAAACAACTTGCAAAACGCCTCGATTCCGCTGTTTCAACCGATGGAAAAGCACTCGTAGAAAACTTGAGCTCATCCAAAAAAAAACATTTCACCAGCAAGTGTTATCTTTAAAGATTTTAGTCTTTGAATTTTGGCAATTTGGATTTTTTGAGATACTTATTGCTAGTTTTCTATTAGCGCCGCAAAATAAATCATTCCACATTGAAATGAAACATCTTCTTTCCAAACATTTTTCAAGATGAGAAACACATGGTTTCTAGATAAGAAGAAATCTAACTGTTTTTTTATTCCGCATCTTTGTCGGAGATTAGAAAAACGATTAGATTGAGATCATCCGCTTTTATTTTGTTTTTTCTTAAAGTTGTCTGACTGTAAACAGATAGAACTTACAATGATTAATGTAGTAATGTAAATGTTAGTTTTGCGATATGGTTGGTTAGTAGCAATTACGTTACAGTCATTTTCAGTACAAAAAATAACAAGACTGCTTGTTTCAGGGCGAATTCTTGAATAATCCGACAGCCTTTAAAGGTTTATGGAGCAGCAGTAACATTAAAAAAATAAATATAATAAGATAAAAAGAAAATTTTTTTTCTAAAATTTGAAGTTTTTTCTGCAATCATCCCCCCAAACGCCATATAAAAAACAAAACATTAGATTTCGCTCATTGTAACAAATCAATTATGGCAAAGAAGTTTCTTTCAACCAATTTGGAACGATTTCTAAGACGGATTAAATCTCCGCATACGCGTTAATAGCGCGAAACATATCGCAGGTTAGTTGTCCCAAATTGGCCAAAGTGGCAATCTTTAAACCCCCATAAATTTACGATAAATGATAACAGGTGAAATATGTTTTAAAAATTAAGGTCAAGACAACAATACCTTTTGAGTTATATAAAAAAAAATTCCGTCAAAAATGGCTGGTTAAAAAGTCGAAATTTGTGTGAAAAAAAAACCCACCCCGAGCACAAATATTATGTTACTTTCGTATCGAAAGTCGGAAAAAAACAAGGAAACAGAAAAAGTTGGAATTTTGAAAGTTTTTTGAGATACTTATTGCCAGTTTTTTATTAGCGGCAAAATAAATCAGTCCACATTGAAATGAAACATCTTCTTTTCCAAACATTTTTCAAGATGAGAAACACATGGTTTCTAGATAAGAAGAAATCTAACAGTTCTTTTATTCCGCATTTTTGTCGGAGATAAGAAAAACAATTAAAATGAGATCAACCGCTTTTATTTTGTATTCTCTCAAAGTTGTCTGACTATAAACAGATATAACTTACAATGATTAATGTAAATGTTAGTTTTGCGATATGGTTGGTTAGTAGCAATTACGTTACAGTCATTTTCAGTACAAAAAATAACAAAACCGCCTGCTCGTTTCGGGGCGAAGTCTTGATTGTTCCGACTGCCTTGTAAGCTTTATGGACCAGTAGTAACATAAAAAAATAAATGTAATAAAATAAAATGAAAAAAAAAAAATTCAAAAATTTAAGGTTTTTTATGAAATCATCACCCCACACGCCATATGAAGTACAAAAGATTAGTTTTCGCTCATTGTAACAAATCAATTATGGCAAATCAGTTTCCTTCAACCATTTTGCAACGATTTCTAAGACGGATTAAATCTCCGCTTACGCGTTAAAAGCGCAAAATATATCGCGCGTTAGTTGTCCCAAATTGGCCAAAATGGCAATCTTTAAACCCCCAAAACTTTATGAAAAATAAGCACAGGTGAAATATCTTTTAGAAATTAAGCGCAAGACAACAATACTTTTCGAATGATTTTTAAAAAATGCCGTCAAAAATGGCTAGTTAAAAAGTTAAAATATGTGTGAAGTAAAAAAACCCACCCCGAGCACAAATATTCCTTTACTTTTGTATCAAAAGTCGGAACAAAAAGAGTGAAACAAAAAAGGTTGACAATTTGGTTTTTTTGAGATACTTATTGCCAATTTTTTATTAGCGCGTCAAAATAAATCATTCCACATTGAAATGAAACATTTTTTTTTCAAACATTTTTTAAGATGAGAAACAAATGGTTTCTAGATAAGAAGAAATCTAACTGTTCTTTTATTCCGCATTTTTGTCGGAGATTAGAAAAACAATTAGATTCAGATCAACCGCTTTGATTTTGTATCTTCTTAAAGTTGTCTGACTGTAAACAGATAGAACTTACAATGATTAATATAAATGTTAGTTTTGTAATATGGTTAGTTAGTATCAAATACGTTACAGTCATTTTCAGTACAAAAATAACAAGACTGCTCGTTTCAGGGCAAAGTCTTGAGTGTTCCGACTGCCTGTTAAGGTTTATGGAGCAGTAGTAACAATAAACAAATAAATGTAATAAAATAAAATGAAAAAAAAAATTTCTAAAGTTGGAAGTTTTTTATGAAATCATCACCCCACACGCCATATAAAGTACAAAAGAATAAATTTCGCTCATTGTAACAAATCAATTATGGCAAATAAGTTTCTTTGAACCAATTTGGAACGATTTCTAAGACGGATTAAATCTCCGCTTACGCGTTAATAGCGCGAAGTATATCGCGCGTTAATTGTCCCAAATTGGCCAAAATGGCAATATTTAAACCCCCATATCTTTACGAAAAATAACCACAGGTGAAATATTTTTTCAAATTTAAGCTTAGGACAACAATACCTTTCGAATGAGATTTTAAAAGTTCCGTCAAAAATGGCTAGTTAAAAAGTCGAAATTTGTCTGAAGAAAAAAAACCCACCCCGAGCACAAATATTCCGTTACTTTCGTATCGAAAGTTGGAACAAAAAGAGTGAAACGATAAAGGTAACTCCGAACGGTTAACAGGTAAAAGCCAATTATCTTATGGCTGTTATAATTTCAATTGATTTTTAGACAAATAATCTAACATGATTGCGTCCACGAGAATGTGATTTACTAAAATTAAAAAAGATATCAGTAGTATCAGAAGATGATCATGCCAAAAACTGTTCAACAATCAACATCCTTCTTTATATTTAATTTTTCTGCAGCTGGTGAAGTTAGACGAGCAGCCGGCGATCAACTGCAGGTCTCATTTTCCTAATTTCCATCCACTCAAAGGAAGTCTCATTTGTCACGATGACACAGACGGTAAAAAAGACACTTGCAATGGTAATTCACTAAATTTGTTAGTTCATTTGTTTTTGCTCAATCTTACGATTTGAAAGTTTTGAGGTCATCATTTTGGCGCAGTTTAGTAAAAGAGCAGCTTATGAGTAGTTTCGTAAGAAATCAATAAGTGTGTTTGCTTTTAAGGTGATAGTGGGGGGCCGTTGTTCCTCGTGAACCCAACTACAAAACTACCGACATGCGTTTATGGTGTCGTCAGCTATGGCATCAAAGATAAGGGGTGCGGTCGGCCGAAATCCCCGACAGTAGCAGCCCGTGTCGCATCATACATTGACATGTTTAATTTGAGTGCAGATAGAAATACCAATTTCACGCAGAAAGTTGTACGAAATGAACATCGAAAAGAGAGCATTGATGAGGTTTTGTCAGAAGCAGTTTATTACAACAGCAAGCAGTGGCTTATGTTGTTTATTGTAATTTATCGTTATAATTGACAAAATTAGGAGCAAGAGATGAGATTTTTATTGCTAGTAAAATTATGTATCGATATTATGAGAATTTGATTGGAATGTTGATTGATATGAATGAAGTAAAGTTGATTCACAATTTGTACACGTACAATTTGTACCTTGAAACTTGTAAAGTTGTATACAACACGACAGATCAAAAAACTTGAAGAAATTATTATTCCAGGTGTTTTTTTTTCAATTAAAATCAAATAAAAAAAATTGTTCATGGTTAGGTTATTAGGTTCATTGATTCATCTTAAATAAGCGTAAGAGGGTTGCACCACATCAGAATGAAGGAAAATTTTGTTAAATTTTTCAAATGCAATTTTTGCAATATTGTAAAAACAATTTCAAAATCCAAACAAGAATTTCAAAACTTCTAAGATTCTAGTAAGATTTTGAGTTTTCCTTACATGAAGTAAAAATTTTGTAAGATTCGAGACTTTTTCTTTCATGATGAAAGATTTCACTGCAGCACAATGAGCCTCATTTTCGAAAAATTTGAGCAAGGTCAGAGTTTTTGCAGATAAATTAACGAAGTTAAAATCTTCAGTGACATTGAAAAAATTTGTAAAATTCTAATAAGAATCTAATAAGGTTTTGAATTGGTACATAAATGAAGCTTTCAAACTCATTCTTCCAATTCTAATCAAATTTCGAATTGCATTATTACCCGGGTTCGAACAAAACTCTTGCCACATATAAGAATAGCAGAAACGTTGAAGGTAAAAAATAACTTTTGCAATTAAAATTTCCACTGATAAAAAATCAGAGAAAAAATTCCTAGTTTTCACCTATTTTGGCAGTGTTTTTTTATTTGATTACTTTCACGAGCGCAGAAACTATGACCTAGGCTGGCTTTTTTACTTGAAAAAATCAAGCAACACAAAGAACATATAAAAGGTCTCGAGTGTGGAGTGATATTAAAATCTTTTCAGTCGAAATTTGATTTCTACAAGAAAAATTCTCGGTGCTGTAACGAATATACGGGTCTGAATTATTCGGGTGCTTAGACTAATTTATATGGACAAAGAAATCTGAGAATGAGCTCCTTACCTAAGTATACTGCAGGCTTAAAGTTGTTTCAGCTATTATTACCCGATTCTTGCACCTTTTCAGCTAATTTAGTTCGCCCCATAAACCAACAAAAGTGAAAATTGCAAAAAAAAAACAATTTGTTTGAATTTTTTTCTTTGTATTTTTAATTGAGTTATTAAGATTACTCTTCGACTTTTGCTGGGTTTTATTTGAAGAAGACCAAAAAATTTTCTGTATCGATTTGAAAAATAAGCATTCAAAAGTTTCAAAAACTGAGATGTAAGTGTCATAGAAGACTAAAAAAATACATAAAAAAAGTCAAATTAGGGTAAATATTGCCAGTTTTTATAACTTTGGATAAAAGTTTTGTCCAAAATTGCAAATTTTGACAAATTTTAGAGGAACAAAACAAAAAAGAATTAAAATTGCATTATTTTGAAGTATTTTGGACAAAGAAAAAAAAACAGTTCAAAACTGGGTTTGTTTTAAAAGGTTAAGCTAGTAATAATTCAATACAAAATTAAACCCGATTTTTTTAACATAGCAACCACTCCCGTTTTTTTTAAATAAAAAAGCATCGGCTACTTTAAAATTGAAAACTATAGGTCAGAAAAATAATTATTTTAACGAGCAAAAACAATTTGACCAAGATTGAGCTATTTTGAAAAATTTTGCAAAAAGCAAAATACTATAATGCATAACCTTTAAATGCATTTTGTCAGATACAAATTGAAGAATCGTCCCATTTTGTCTCAATACAATTTTCTAAGAAAAACGCAAATTTTGCCAAACGTTACACATGAAAAAACAAATGATCATCAAAAAACAAATGTAAAAATTTTTGAGCACACGTAGCAGCGACACAAAACAATTGAAATATTCCAAATTCTCGTTAGTTTTGGGCTTGATACTTTACTAAATTATTTTGATGAAAAGATTCGTTTTTTCGATTAAATCACTCCGTATTCATCTCTTCATCTATACTCAATCATAAAGTTTTTTTGAAGACATAGTTTTTGCATGACAGTGTGTTCTGATTTCAAATAGAAACAGAAACATGAATTATTTTATTGCGTTCACAAAATGTGACGCCGCCGCCACCACCAAAGAAATATGTTTTTATTCCCTTGCAAAAGGAAGGGAAATGCTATTGGAATAATTCGTATAACGTTTTAAGCATTGAGAATTGAAACGAATGCTCTCATTCAATACGAATAATAACGATTCCTCTCGTAAAGTACGAGCATACGAAACCTTCTTCTCGTAAAATACGAATGTACGAATAAAGAATACGAAGTTAAAAGAAACTTCTCATTTGATACGAAAAGTGGCGTGATTTCCCCAATTGAGTATAAATAGAAGCTCAAAACTACGGGAATTCATTCCAACAACTTCTCTTCTACCACCACCACCACTCTCCTCAGCCACCCCAACCCTTCTCTAAAATAATATTCAATCTCAGAGAAAAATATCTCCAATCTCACCGTAAAAATTAAATATTGAGTCAAAAGGCAACTTGCTGTAAATTCATACTAACTTCTTTTTTAATAAAATATTTCTCAGCGAATTTTAGATTTACTTTCTAAGATAGAAAGTAGAAAGGACCCTTTATTCCTAGCAAGCGTTTTGTCCGACGTGAATAGTATTGCTAGCGTAATAAATTGGTGCGACCAGTGAGGCTCAAGACCAGTGGGATCAATTTACAAATCATGTAATTACTAAGGATCTAACATTCATTGTTGCTACTGAACCTGCTAATAAGTCAACAACGGATAAAATGACTTCATTAGAAACTCAAATTAAAGAACTAACTAAACTGATCAAGAATCAAGAAGTTAGTGCAATCAATGACCCGACTTCATTTCAACGACGTCACCCTGACATCAAGGGAAGACCTAATAGTACACGATTCTGCGAATATTGTAGAATGAATGGACATTCTATATCTAGATGTTCAAAAAAGCAAGTTCAGGACGAAGTAAATAAGTTGCGAAAAGAGCTCACAACAAAAAATGAACGAAGAGTTTCATTTGAAACTGATTATAAACGAAATCGAAGACCGAATAACTTCCCTAACCAGAGTAATCCTAACCCAAGTAATCGGTTTTGGGATAACCAAAACAGAACTACTAACAATTCAAATCCTAGCCAAAATAACTATGGCATTCGCCATAATTATAACTACAACGGAAACAATTTCCAAAAGGCTACTACACAATCGTCTTTCAATAACAAAAGACCCCAAACCTATGATGATAGGTACCCCAGAGAAAACAAATTCAGAGAAAATGAACAAGTTGCTAAACAGTTCTACGAGCAAGAAAATAGGCAATTCAACAGTAACCCTAGAGGTCGACCATATAACACTGGAAGCTATAATAGCAATAACAGTCGAGACTCAACGCGATCTCAATCACCAAATTTTAGATCGAATCAAATACAGTCTGAAACTACCCACTGGGTTGAGGAAGAAGTCAATTACTGTGATGCTATCACTGATTTCTTTCCTTTAAACTATTAAAGTCTCTGAAACCAAGCGATGATAGTAATCCTAAATCAAGGATATATCTTAGCTTATATCATTTTGCCACCGGAGAAAAAAATAATAATAGTGGAATTGAAATTGAATTCATGATTGATCCAGGATCAACTTGTAGTATCATAAACTACCCAACTTATCAAGAATTGGAAAAATTAGGTCAAAAAATGACAATTTACCGATCCAAAATTAAAGCAAAGACTTATAATGGATCTGATATACGTATGTTTGGCCATACATCTATTCAATCTTGTTTCGACACTGATGGAAAATATCCATCTAACCACAAAGTGTGGATAACTGAAGAAAAGACTGCTAATCTGTTAGGAGTAGACTTTTGTCATCTCTTCTTAAAAGCTCTCTACTTTGATATCCCCGCAGTTGAGCTCAAATCAAAAGAAGGTGTAATATCCTACGGGTTGATGAACAACGATAAAGAATATCCTAACGTTTCAAAAGTTGTCTCAATTAACTTGAAAGAACCCCTGTTCATTCCAGCACGCTCTACATACTTATACAAACACTTGGCTGAACCAAATTCATACTTCGAAAGAGGGACTACATTCCTGCCTCATAAAAATACAACCAAAACCGAAATGGTTTTCATTAATACAGTTTGTACTCAAATTGAGCAAAGCCTACCTATCCTAATTGAGAATCAGAAAGATCATCCTGTCACACTAAACAAATGTGTACTAGGCTATGCAGTAACTGATATTCAAGGATACGAGGATAAAAAATTTGCTATCCACGATTGTGATGAGTTCACAACGAGAATTTTAAATGAAAGTTCAGAATTCGATAGCTGTTTCATGCTGAACACTGTTTTCAATACAACACAGGAAAGCAATACTCAATTATCCGGCCCCTGTCTACAATATGTAGACTTCAAAAAAAGGTCCATATTCGAATCGAATATGCCCATTGCCCATACAATCTCTGCAGATAGAGCAATGAAAAAAGAGTTTGCTGAATCAATTAGCAAAAGGTATCCTGAGTTACGACACTTTTGTAACTCAATACATGCTAACATTAACGATATTCTCATCTTCACTTATCCAAAATCTGGACAAATCATATATAACCTGATTGCCAAACAGAGGTACTTTCAGAAACCCACTTACGACGCTATATTCAATACCTTGTCCGAAATGAAAGATCATGCTATAGCAAATAACATTCGATCTATCGCAATGCCCAAAATTGCTTGTGGCTTAGATAAAATGAATTGGGAAGAAGTTTCCAAAATCATTGTCGATGTATTCCAACATTCTGGAATTACTATATTTGTCTATGTTTCAGGACAAGAAATCAAGGACATGCCTGCCCTTGAAGTGTTTGATACAGAGAATGTATCAGAAATATTTGAACAAATTGGTTCAGATATAGTCAAAGTATGCAAAAATGAAAACGAAATAGCAACCGACTTTTCTAATGATGCAAAGAACCTTTGCAGGCCTCCCTTGAAAGAACAATTTAAAAAGTACC